TTGTGGGGAGAAGTTAGAATGATTGTGGGGAGAAGTTAGAATGATTGTGGAAGAGAAGTTAGAATGATTGTGGAGGAGAAGTTAGAATGATTGTGGAGGAGAAGTTAGAATGATTGTGGAGGAGAAGTTAGAATGATTGTGGAGGAGAAGTTAGAATGATTGTGGGGAGAAGTTAGAATGATTGTGGATGAGAAGTTAGAATGGTTGTGGTTTAGAAGTTAGAATGATTGTGGAGAGAAGTTAGAATGATTGTGAGGGAGAAGTTAGATGAATGATTGTGGAGGAGAAGTTAGAATGATTGTGGGGAGAAGTTAGAATGATTGTGGGGGAGAAGTTAGAATGATTGTGGAGGAAAAGTTAGAATGACTGTGGAGGAGAAGTTAGAATGATTGTGGAGGAGAAGTTAGAATGATTGTGGAGGAGAAGTTAGAATGATTGTGGAGGAGAAGTTAGAATGATTGTGGATGAGAAGTTAGAATGGTTGTGGAGGAGAAGTTAGAATGATTGTGGAAGAAGTTAGAATGATTGTGGGGAGAAGTTAGAATGATTGTGGGGGAGAAGTTAGAATGATTGTGGAGGAGAAGTTAGAATGATGTGGAGGAGAAGTTAGAATGAATTGGAGGAGAAGTTAGAATGATTGTGGGGGAGAAGTTAGAATGATTGTGGGGAGAAGTTTGAATGATTGTGGAGGAGAAGTTAGAATGATTGTGGAGGAGAAGTTAGAATGATTGTGGAAGAGAAGTTAGAATGATTGTGGAGGAGAAGTTAGAATGATTGTGGAGGAGAAGTTAGAATGATTGTGGAGGAGAAGTTAGAATGATTGTGGAGGAGAAGTTAGAATGATTGTGGAGAAGTTAGAATGATTGTGGAGGAGAAGTTAGAATGATTGTGGAGGAGAAGTTAGAATGATTGTGGAAGAGAAGTTAGAATGATTGTGGAGGAGAAGTTAGAATGATTGTGGGGAGAAGTTAGAATGATTTGTGGGGGAGAAGTTAGAATGATTGTGGGGAGAAGTTAGAATGATTGTGGGGGAGAAGTTAGAATGATTGTGGAGGAGAAGTTAGAATGATTGTGGAGGAGAAGTTAGAATGATTGTGGGGAGAAGTTAGAATGATTGTGGGGGAGAAGTTAGAATGATTGTGGGGAGGAAAGTTAGAATGATTGTGGAGGAGAAGTTAGAATGATTGTGGAGGAGAAGTTAGAATGATTGTGGGGAGAAGTTAGAATGATTGTGGGGAGAAGTTAGAATGATTGTGGGGGAGAAAGTTAGAATGATTGTGGAGGAGAAGTTAGAATGATTGTGGAGGAGAAGTTAGAATGATTGTGGAGGAGAGTTAGAATGATTGTGGGGGAGAAGTTTGAATGATTGTGGAGGAGAAGTTAGAATGACTGTGGAGGAGAAGTTAGAATGATTGTGGAGGAGAAGTTAGAATGATTGTGGGGGAGAAGTTAGAATGATTGTGGAGAAGTTAGAATGATTGTGGAGGAGAAGTTAGAATGATTGTGGAGGAGAAGTTAGAATGATTGTGGGGAGAAGTTAGAATGATTGTGGGGAGAAGTTAGAATGATTGTGGGGGAGAAGTTAGAATGATTGTGGAGGAGAAGTTAGAATGACTGTGGAGGAGAAGTTAGAATGATTGTGGGGAGAAGTTAAATGATTGTGGAGGAGAGTTAGAATGATTGTGGGAGAAGTTAGAATGATTGTGGAGTTGAGAATAGTATTTAGAATGATTGTGGAGGAGAATTAGAATGTTGTGGGAGAAGTTAGAATGTGTGGAGGAGAAGTTAGAATGATTGTGGAGGAGAAGTTAGAATGATTGTGGAGGAGAAGTTAGAATGATTGTGGAGGGAAGTTAGAATGATTGTGGAGGAGAAGTTAGAATTGATTGTGGAGGAGTGAAGTTAGAATGATTGTGGAGAAAGTTAGAATGATTGTGGAGGAGAAGTTAGAATGATTGTGGAGGAGAAGTTAGAATGATTGTGGAGGAGAAGTTAGAATGATTGTGGAGGAGAAGTTAGAATGATTGTGGAGGAGAAGTTAGAATGATTGTGGAGAAGTTAGAATGATTGTGGAGGAGAAGTTAGAATGATTGTGGAGGAGAAGTTAGAATGATTGTGGGGGAGAAGTTAGAATGATTGTGGAGGAGAAGTTAGAATGACTGTGGAGGAGAAGTTAGAATGATTGTGGAGGAAAAGTTAGAATGATTGTGGGGAGAAGTTAGAATGATTGTGGGGGAGAATTTTAGAATGGTTGTGGAGGAGAAGTTAGAATGGTTGTGGAGGAGAAGTTAGAATGATTGTGGAGGAGAAGTTAGAATGATTGTGGAGGAGAAGTTAGAATGATTGTGGAGGAGAAGTTAGAATGATTGTGGAGGAGAAGTTTAGAATGATTGTGGAGGAGAAGTTAGAATGATTGTGGAGGAGAGAAGTTAGAATGATTGTGGAGAAGTTAGAATGATTGTGGAGGAGAAGTTAGAATGATTGTTTAGGAGAAGTTAGAATGATTGTGGAGGAGAAGTTAGAATGATTGTGGAGGAGAAGTTAGAATGATTGTGGAGGAGAAGTTAGAATGATTGTGGAGGAGAAGTTAGAATGATTGTGGAGAAGTTAGAATGATTGTGGAGGAGAAGTTAGAATGATTGTGGAGGAGAAGTTAGAATGTTCGTTGAGGAATTAAAGTGCTGTTTAATTAAGCAATTACGTGATGGCAGTACCAAAGGTGCTCTTTCTCTTCACTTTTTTCTCGTCTCTTTACCGTCTTCTCATTTACTTAAGCACCATTCTCTCTCTCTCTCTCTCTACCTCTTTCCTTCTGTCTCTCTCATTATTCTTTCTTCCTAATTTATATAAACATTATACTCTCTTTCTTCTCCTCTTTTTGACTCTATCTCTCTTTCATTTAGCTATGCCTTGGCTCTTCCCTCTCTTTGTTCCAGCCCCTCTCATATTCCCTTCTGATTCTCTTCATCCTTCTCCTCTCTGCTTACTCTTGCTCCTCCACCTGTCTCTTCCTTTCTTCGTCTCTGCTCTTCTTCCTGAATCTGGTCTCCCTCTCTGTTCCCTCTCTTCCTCCCTTCTTCCTCTTTCTCTCTCTCTCCCTCCATGCTCCTTCAACCGCCTTCTCGTTAACGAGGGAGCAACTCAGGGCTCTGACACGTAATACCACAATAAAGAAGACTGATGGTAATCCTGTCTCCCAGTGGTGTGTGGTGATGGGTCGCTTCTACGCCGACTTACCTGTCCTATTTCTGGTTGTCTTTCTACTTCCATATCTCGTTCTTCTTCCTCCTTCCCCTCACCCTTCTCTTACTCCTTTCATTCTTCTCTGTCTCGGCATTTGTTTTCCTCTCACAATCTTCTTCCAGTTTCCTAATTCTTTTTTCTTTCTTTTTTTAGCACTCATTAAATTTAATTTCCATCAGATCACTTTTTTTCCTTCCTTTCCACTCCAAGAAAATATCTTCCTATTCTTTCCCCTTATATTTAAACAAAAATGCCCTTTCTTATCTTTTCCTCCTTCCCATAAGCCTCAAATATTTTCCTACCCTGCCTCTCTCTCTCTCTCTCTCTCTCTCTCTCTCTCTCTCTCTCTCTCTCTCTCTCTTCCTCAATACCTGTCTTTTATTTCTCCTGCTTAGCCTCTGTTCTCCTACTTCCGCTGCCTACACCCACCTGATTTTCACCCTCCTCTCCTTCTGCCTCCGCCGGGAAGTATGCCAGTTCATCCTGCGTGGGGCTCTCCTCCAGGTTGGCCTTCTGGGGCCGTGGTCGTGCTAACAGAGCGTCGTCGTGAGCCTCTTGGTGGGATGAAGACACTCCGACAGGCCTACGTCTGTTAGACAGCTGCTGGGAACAGCTCTTGTTGGCCATCTTATCCAACCTGGGAGGGAAAGAGAATGGGATTTGCAGGTGACGTGAGTTTACTAGTGATGGGAGAAATCCGAATGCGCGTAACTGCAAATATAAAAAAAAATAAGCAGGAAAATCTGAATTCTCCCATGTGCTTCTCTTGCCTCTTATTCCTCTGAAGATGTATGCAGAAACACACGAGAGCTTTTACGTTTTCCTGTATTTTTTCAATGTTGTTTTTATTAGTAATATAATGAGAGCATTAGAATGATGTATTCATAAGCATGAGCCATCTTTAAGGAAACGTTTCGCCACAGAGTGGCTCATCAGTCAAATATAAAAAAGAACGGTGGGACTGATTACCTCAAACTCCTCCTCTCTTTCCACCGTTCTTCTTTACATTGGACTGATGAAGCCACTGGCTGGTGAAACGTTTCCTCAATAAAGATTCCCAAATGTTGCACAAGTGTCTCATTCTTCTTGTTTCTTACTTAACTTCTTTTTCACATCTTACTCAAAATCATAAACACGGGGGTAGAAGTTCAACACTCGCAAACTCAGCCAGATAAACACAAGTGTGTATGAGGATACTTGCTGTATAAGTGTGTATGAGGATACTTGCTGTACAAGTGTGTATGAAGATCCTTGCTGTACAAGTGTGTATGAAGATCCTTGCTGTACAAGTGTGTATGAAGATCCTTGCTGTACAAGTGTGTATGAAGATCCTTGCTGTACAAGTGTGTATGAGGATACTTGCTGAACAAGTGTGTATGAGGATACTTGCTGTACAAGTGTGTATGAGGATACTTGCTGAACAAGTGTGTATGAGGATACTTGCTGTACAAGTGTGTATGAAGATCCTTGCTGTACAAGTGTGTATGAAGATCCTTGCTGTACAAGTGTGTATGAAGATCCTTGCTGTACAAGTGTGTATGAAGATCCTTGCTGTACAAGTGTGTATGAGGATACTTGCTGTACAAGTGTGTATGAAGATTCTTGCTGTACAAGTGTGTATGAAGATCCTTGCTGTACAAGTGTGTATGAGGATACTTGCTGAACAAGTGTGTATGAGGATACTTGCTGTACAAGTGTGTATGAAGATCCTTGCTGTACAAGTGTGTATGAAGATCCTTGCTGTACAAGTGTGTATGAGGATACTTGCTGTACAAGTGTGTATGAAGATCATTGTTGTACAAGTGTGTATGAGGATACTTGCTGTACAAGTGTGTATGAAGATCCTTGCTCTACAAGTGTGTATGAAGATCCTTGCTGTACAAATATGTATGAAGATCCTTGCTGTACAAGTGTGTATGAGGATACTTGCTGTACAAGTGTGTATGAAGATCCTTGCTGTACAAATGTGCATGAAGATCCTTGCTGTACAAGTGTGTATGAAGATCCTTGCTGTACAAGTGTGTATGAAGATCCTTGCTGTACAAGTGTGTATGAAGATCCTTGCTGTACAAGTGTGTATGAGGATACTTGCTGTACAAGTGTGTATGAAGACCCTTGCTGTACAAGTGTGTATGAAGATCCTTGCTGTACAAGTGTGTATGAAGATTCTTGCTGTACAAATGTGCATGAAGATCCTTGCTGTACAAGTGTGTATGATGATACTTGCTGTACAAGTGTGTATGAGGATACTTGCTGTACAAATGTGTATGAAGATCCTTGCTGTACAAGTGCGTATGAAGATCCTTGCTGTACAAGTGTGTATGAAGATACTTTGCTGTACAAGTGTGTATGAAGATCCTTGCTGTACAAGTGTGTTTGAAGATCCTTGCTGTACAATTGTGTATGAAGATCCTTGCTGTACAAGTGTGTATGAAGATCCTTGCTGTACAAGTGTGTATGAAGATCCTTGCTGTACAAGTGTGTTTGAAGATCCTTGCTGTACAAGTGTGTATGAAGATCCTTGCTGTACAATTGTGTATGAAGATCCTTGCTGTACAAGTGTGTATGAAGATCCTTGCTGTACAAGTGTGTATGAAGATCCTTGCTGTACAAGTGTGTATGGAGATACTTGCTGTACAAGTAACGAATGAGTCGAGTCTTAATTTAGTGTTCATTGCTCTTAACGTTTATGACTGTGATCATCATAACTGTCGCGAACAGACAGTACGGTTTGACTTCATTTAACACTAACTTTTATAGCAGGATATCTCAGTAACTAACTGGCAAGACTTCCTTCATGATATAATAACTGGAGACTGGGCATGATCGCTTTCCTTACGCCCGTGTTGCATGCAAAGAGTATGTACCCTTTATTTAGAGCATGTTAACACACTCATGTAGGCTGCCTCAGCAACTAGAGAACCAGGTAACTAAGGGTCGGACGATCGGGGCCCCATCGTCAGATCAGTTCCTAGGTTCAGCCAATCACATTGTGGATCTGGCAATTGTGAAGGTGACGTGGATACCACTCACATTCTTACCCTTGTCATTTTCACCCAGCTGCTGGTTGAACACAATTGTCCATTCTGTCTCCAGGCTGTGTCTTTGCCTTTTGCTTTACCGTGTTGTACACATATATTTCCAATTGTATATAGTGTACATACTTGTAAATACTTATAATCGCACTTGGTAAAGGAAAACATAATTCAAAGTCATTCAGCTGTGTTTTTTCTGCTCCTTGTTCCCTTTTACACCCAGGATAACAGACCTTTTTGTTCCTGGGCCATAATAGCCCGTTCCATTTCATATCCTGGATCATATATTCTCATACATCATTACACATAAATTGGATTTAAATATGGATTCTACAAGCTATCTAAACGAAACCAAAGTGACTGTCTGCTGCCTATATTAACATTCTCACTTTTATCAGCAGTGCTGATATGCTGTTTTGATGAGACTCTCTTAGTGATAGATCGTATGACTGACTCCTGTCGAGGTTGTGAACAACAAATTCCCTGTGAATGACCACTTTTGGAGAAAGTGGAGCAAATATGTACACGTAGCCGAAAATACTTTTGCCCATATTACTAATGAAAAAAAATTTTGAGGATGACAAAAGCAGGAGATAAACAATCCTCACTTCCGGAGTGTAGACTCGGGAACGTTCCTTTAAGGCGAAACAAATCTACAAACTCGGAAAGTATATTAAACAGCAACAAACAAAATGAACATATCACCAAATTATAAAAAAAAAATGCATGGAAAAAATATATTAATTTAACATGAAAAAATCTCAGCAGCGATCCATAGTATTCACAACTCGCATTGGGTGAACAACAACAGCGACGCTTTTGTTAAAAGGAAGTTGACAATAGAGAAACTATTTAATTCCAGTTGTGTTTATTTTTAATTCTTTTGTCTGTAGCAAGTAACGTAAAAATTCTGAACCAGTGTTTACCACCACAATGGTAAACACTAGCTTAGAACAGCACCGCCAGAACAACAGAGTACAAACACTGCCAGAACAAGAGTACAAACACTGTCAGGATAACAGAGTACAAACACCACCAGGACACCAGTGCAAACACTGCCAGGACAACTGAGTACAAGCACTACAAATACGGCCAGAACAGAGTACAAACACTCCAGAATAAGAGTATAAACACTGCCAGAAGAGTACAAACACTGCCAGGACAACAGTGCAAACACCGCTAGGACACCAGTACAAACACTGCCAGGACAACAGAGTACAAACACTGCTAAAGGAAGATCCCACACTACTAGCAGAATAATTTAGAAACACAGCTATTTGTAACTAGTCACTGTTGTGGTGGTCGGGTGTTGCGCACGGGCGGACCTATTGTGTTCCTTATATTACATGCATATTCACCGATTTGTATTCGATGATGTATATTCACCGGTTTGCACTCATCGTTTTCTGTTCACCGATTTTTACTCGCATATTTGTATTCCCCGATTTATTCTTGCTGAACTGTACTCAGCCTGTTTTCACTCACCGATTTCTACTCGCATTTTTACTCACAGATTTGATTATACAGGAGGGTCTAGTTACAGATCCTGGCTCTGTCTTGTAGCCCATTGAGTTGCTGGCTCCTTGCCAATTTAACTTTATCGTACCTATTTTTGTAGCTCTGTTGTCATTGCTTCTACCACTTGCTCATCTAGTGCATTGTTCTTCTATTCTTGCCACTCTGAGACTGGAGAATTATTTCGCAGCTTCATTAGGGCTCACTTGTGTTTTTAATTTGTATCAATGGCACCTTGTTCTTGCCCTCGGCATGTCCTTTGAGTATTGTGTACTTCGTGGTCATATCTTCCTGGTTTTCCTACAGCTTAATAACACGAAACACCAACACTAAACCTCTTTTTTTAAAACTAAATATTAGCACTGTACACCACAATATACAAATAAAGCACCACTGAAGACCATCAAGAATATATACCACGATTATTACGCACCACCAACACTAATCATCAGAAACACTAAATATCACCAGCCCAAAACATCAAAGCAGGCTGGTGAGCGGCCCAGTAATGATTGGACGCTTCAACAAACACAAAAAAACCCAAATTTTTATACACCTATGCAAAGAACCTCTCTAAACACGGAGCTTACAAAGGTTCTTTGACCCACGTAGCGTAACATAATTTCTATCATTGAAACAAATTGTGACGCTTTTCCCTCGCCTGGAATTAGTGTAGTTGATGCCGTCGTTAAGGTCATTTTATCCTGGATTACATAGGCATCATCATTATGTAAAACGTGTGGCCACTTGGGTGAGGAGCACTGCAGATATATTTGGTCAGTAAAATGACAAGCGTGTCTTACGTGCCCGAGTTACATACAGTTAAATGTGGTCACAAGAGTAATATAGGTTTGCCAAGAATGGTCATTTGGGTCACAGTCTTGACAGGTATGAACATTCGGGTCACAGTCTTGACAGGTATGATCATTCGGGTCACAGTCTTGACAGGTATGATCATTCGGGTCACAGTCTTGACAGGTATGATCAATTCAGCCACAAGCATGCCAGATACGGTGATTTGAATCACAGGCGAGTTAGATGTAATCAGTCGGGGGATAATCATGTTAGATACGGTGATTCGAATCACAGGCGAGTGATATGATATATATATAATATATATATATATATATATATATATATATATATATATATATATATATATATATATATTATCACACTGGCCGATTCCCACCAAGGCAGGGTGGCCCGAAAAAGAAAAACTTTCACCATCATTCACTCCATCACTGTCTTGCCAGAAGGGTGCTTTACACTACAGTTTTTAAACTGCAACATTAACACTCCTCCTTCAGAGTGCAGGCACTGTACTTCCCATCTCCAGGACTCAAGTCCGGCCTGCCGGTTTCCCTGAACCCCTTCATAAATGTTACTTTGCTCACACTCCAACAGCACGTCAAGTATTAAAAACCATTTGTCTCCATTCACTCCTATCAAACACGCTCACGCATGCCTGCTGGAAGTCCAAGCCCCTAGCACACAAAACCTCCTTTACCCCCTTCCTCCAACCTTTCCTAGGCCGACCCCTACCCCGCCTTCCTTCCACTACATTATATATATATATATATATATATATATATATATATATATATATATATATATATATATATATATATATATATATATATATTATATATAATATATATATTTATTTATATTATAGGTTGTAGGTTGGTAGACAGCAACTACCCAGGGAGGTACTACCGTCCTGCCAAGTGAGTGTAAAACAAAAGCCTGTAATTGTTTTACATGACGGTAGGATTGCTGGTGTCCATTTTTCTGTCTCATGAACATACAAGATTTCAGGTACGTCTTGCTACTTCTACTTACACTTAGGTCACACTACACATACATGTACAAGCATATATAAACACACCCCTCTGGGTTTTCTTCTATTTTCTTACTAGTTCTTGTTCTTGTTTATTTCCTCTTATCTTCATAGTGAAGTGAAACAGAATTATTCCTCCGTAAGCTATGAGTGTTGTAAGAGGCGACTAAAATGCCGGGAGCAAGGAGCTAGTAACCCCTTCTCCTGTATAAATTACTAAATTTAGAAAGTGAAACTTTCGTTTTTCTTTTTGGGCCACCCTGCCTTAGTGGGATACTGCCGGTTTGTTAAAATATATATACAGAAGGGGTCCACCTCTGGTGTATGTATATATATATATATATTATATATATATATATATATTATAATATATATTATATATATATATATATATATATATATATATATATATATATATAATATATATATATATATTATATATATAATCTATTCTTGATTTACATGTGGGTTTCATGTACACATCACATAACATTTTATAATTATTAGGTAAATATAAGCAAATATTAAAATATCAGTGTTGTTATATACATCAGTTACTCAGACATGGAAATTAACGAGAATTATACACAACCATGACGAAAATAATCAAGGATTACGCACCAAAAATAATATAAATGAGTATATAATATATGCACTAAACAGAACATCAGATTTATACCAAATCCTTGCGACGACTGACTTCACTTAGGAAGAACTTAGTAACAAGTTAGGAACAACTTAGGAATAACTTAAAAACTTACGTGTTGAGGATGAGAACGCTGTCGAGGCCAGCGATGGCCATGCGTCGGTCCAGGTCTGAGTGGGACTTCTTCAGCGCCTCCGTCGTCCTGTTCTCCAGAGTGGCCAAGTCCTCCTTGAACCTCCGCTCCGTTGACTGGTGCAGAGAGGTAATAAATGAGGGAAACTAGATGTGAGAGAGAAGAGGATGATACGTAGAGATATAGCAGAGAGTAATCGTAGAGAATGATACGCGAGAGATGATACGTGAGGATGTAGAGAGATATACGTAGAGAGATGATACGCAGAGAGATGATACGTAGAGAGATGATACGCTAGAGAGATAATACGTAGAGAGTGTCAGAGAGATGAACTGAGAGATGCAGTTAATCTAAATGTCGCAGGAATGTACGAAATATACAAGATAACTGAACGCAGAGGATGATAGTAGAGAGATGATACGCAGGAGATACTAGAGGATGATACCAGATATCGTTAAAATAAGAAAAATTAAAATGTACGCAGGAGAATATAAAGATGATACCGAGGTATATATGATTCTTTGTGATACCAGAGAGATGCTACTAGAGGGCATGATAGCAAATAGATACGTAAAATCTACGAGGAATATCCAATCTAGGATGTCGAAAATATCTCATGACGATGGAACAAGTTAACACACATCTCAAGCACGGGAAAACTTTATAATTCAAAAAAACTAAAACCATATTTCTTATCATGGTTATGTGATAGATTAACGATTTCATCGGAAAATATCTCAGACGAGACAGTAAACAAGAAAACTTCTAAATCAAACTCAACCATTTGCTTCAGTTATTGTATGTTTATTATATACAGCGTATACTTTAGCTGGGAGCTATACTGCACATCGTATATTATGCAAATATTTATATGTAGGCCTATTTGGAGGGCTTAAATTACAAGAGAGCTCGGGGCTCACAAAGCCTTCACACCGCCAGTCCATTTTACAACCCTGGCAAAGAGTCGATTTTTCTATATTCTGCGTATGTCGTATGCGTATTTTGTACGACGCGATCATATCCCTCTCTCCTTCCCTTCTGGCAGGTACCAAGGCCATTAATCAGTCACATCACGTCGAGAGAGCAGGATAGACCATGAAACATATATGGCACCGCTACTCGTTAAATCAACATTGTGATTACAAATGTCTTAATTTTTTTTAGAATTGCAAACGAGTTTGCTGTCAGGAGATAATTTGTAATTTAAACATTGACTCCCGAAGGTTCATGCAATGTACACTCGTTTTACAACCAATTCTGCCTTCACCATTTCCTGCCAGAACTGTATTTGGTTGCCGCATTTCATGCAACACGATTCGGTTATCCAATTTATTAAGCGCTGCTGTTAAATGTGCATAAATCTGCCTCCATTTATTAATTGGTATGAGGCTCATTTCTCGTCGCCACAATATTCCAATACCTCGTATAACTACGCAGTTTTCAAGTTCCTCTAGCGCTGGAATTGACTCATTAACTAAGCAGACTCTCGGCCTAGCGCCGGATTTAACGGCTACTAATTTTATCGTCCATTTATATATATAACTCAGTTTCAGTCTAGCCGGATTTGATATATATAACTACGCAGTTTCGTTTCAGTTCCATACTTGCTCTGTGCCGATCTGATGCATAACCACACACACACACCACACACACACACACACACACACACACACACATTCCAATCAATTCACAATCATCTGATCATCAAACTACACAACTCCAATCATCACAACACACACACACACACACACACACACACACACACACACACATCTTCCAATCAATTTTCCATAGTTATCTTTGACATATAATTACATAAATCTTCCAGTCATTCCAACTTTAAGCCCTGGTTTGGGTGTATCACTAGGCAGGAGTCAACAATCCAGTTTTCCAGTGATGGAGAACGGCTCTCCCCCACCATCCTTGCAAATCGAGAACAAACTCTTTGTGCTGGAAGCATCGATCCAGAGCTTCATTTAGACTGAAGTATGATCGACTAAATTACCATAATTTACAAAACTCGGACAAAAGCACAGAGTTCATCTGTGGTGAGAGAGAGAGAGAGAGAGAGAGAGAGAGAGAGAGAGAGAGAGAGAGAGAGAGAGAGAGAGAGAGAGAGAGAGAGGAGAGAGAGAGAGAGAGAAGAGAGAGAAGAGAGAGAGAGAGAGAGATATGGGGAGGAGGAGATGGGGGCCGAGTTCCTGCGATTCGCAATCTGATCCCCGGCGATAAGTATGCAACAAAGGTGTCAGCAGAGTCACCCTCTGTAAGACTTAGCATCGGAGGGGCACTACTCATATTGAAAGTTACTTTAGCAAGTTAGACTCAGACGTAACGACTGCCCAAGTGTCAGTTAGACCACTAACCTCAAGGGTATTGCATTCACTGAAATAAAGCTTACAGAAAACTCTTAGTGGATGTATTCTGAGAGGAACATCCAGTCCTCTTGATTACCAAGTAGTAAAGCATCCGGTCTTCTTGATCATCAGGTGGTGGAGCATCCAATCCTCTCCTCTTCATTACCAGGTGATGTAGCATCCAGTAGTCTATCATACCAGGTGGATCATCATCCAGCCTCCAATATTTCAAGGTATCCAACCCTCCATCACCTTATGATCTCGCCAGCATCCACTCCTCCGTGAAGTATCTCCAGGTTTAGTCGGTGATGCCGAGTGGCTGTGTTTGTTACATTTTACTCTCTTTCTCCCGAGTGTTCTCACCCCTCGTACCGAGAAGATGATATTGTCAGCCTGGATTGCCTTGAGCCCACGAGTGGGTCGTCAAGGGCACTCCATTATACGAAATTGTCCCGGTTATCAATTTCACGACGGTTATTGAGTCCACTGTCGGGGATAGCAGACCTTGTTTCATATACGCTCCAGAGACCCTTGCTCTTCCTATATTCTTCTGCGAACCGGTTTATAGGTTCCTTGGATTATCTGGTCTTTTTTCTCGATTTCATGGATGACGTTTATCCAAATTGCTACGCGAGTGAGCTTCGTTTTCACGCACGAACAATAAGGTAGTTTGAGAATGGTTTTGTAAGAGATGTCCGATGCCAGGGGACTAAAACTCTTCGCGCATATAACACGCAGACACACGGACAGACGGAAAGACAGACATACACAGTAGTATATATTTATTAGAAAACGTTTCAATCCTGGGATCGAAACGTTTTTTTAATAAACGTGTCCTAGTGTTTGCTTATGTGTCTTATTTTTAACCAGTTTGTTGGTATATATTATCAAAGTTTATATCACACACACACACACACACACACACACAACTTAGTAAGTGTTGCGCTTATTGCTCGGGAGAGGAATACGTTACTGTGAACACTTAAACCCGCAATGGCTGCTCAGGGCAAGTGTTTCTGAATGGTTGCAACACTGTTGCGCTGTTATCTGTAAGTGCGTTGCAAGACTGAATGATTGCAAGACTTATCTAAATGCGCCCCTTTGAGGAATGTTCATTCATCATGATGAAAGGGCTCTCGATCCAAGGAATTGGACTCTCTCCTTCCTTGGATCAAACCTGATTGCCTCTCTTTACATAGACGCTGTATGACGCCTATGTGTATCGCTTCCCCTGAATATTAAAAGTAATAATAATAATAATAATAATAATAATAATAATAATAATAATAATAATAATAATAATAATAATAATAATAATAATAATGAAAATGTGCGGTCTAGCAACACGAATTACTGATTATGAGGCTCCCATTTAGTTTCTTTAATCTCTTTCTCTCTCTCTGTCTCTCTGTCTGTCTGTCTGTCTCTCTCTCTCTCTCTCTCTCTCTCTCTCTCTCTCTCTCTCTCTCTCTCTCTCTCTCTCTCTCTCTCTCTCCTTACACATTGTTTTACAAGATTAGGTTAAGATTCCTAACTTTATTTACGAGCTAAGAGCTCTTACCTACATCTATTTATCCAATCTAATCTCTCGAACTGCCACATATTCACCTGTAATCTGTTGTTGATAGAGTTGACAGCATCTCTGACAGCATCTGTGACCTGGGTCAAGTCGTGAGGCACGGCTGATTGGGGGTAGTCCTCGTTGTTGACGGGGTCAGGCCTAGTCGAGCACGAGAGAGGCCTAGTTAGCGGGGGTTACGTGGCAAGAAGGTAGGCTCATGGTGGAAACAAGTTAGGAACGATAAATAATGGGGGAACATGGTCTATGAACGTATAGCAGGACACAACAGATATCGTAGTTGGGCTAGCGGCACTCGAACGCTTACGATTGCCTCCCAATATACATATTAATCTCTTCAACATGCACAGTAGTTTCGCCAACATTCACTGCAGTCTTCTAACACGCTCAGCTATCTCTCCCAATGTACACAATATTCTTCTAGTACACACAATAGCCCCTCCAACACAGGCAATAGTTTCTCCTACTGTCGTAATAGTCCTTCAACACTCATACTAGTCTCTCCATCACAAACAATTGCCTCTCTACAGTCACAAGTACCCTCCAACACTTACAATAGCCTCTCCAACACTCACAGTATCCTCTCCAGCACTCACAGTAGCCTCTCCTACACTCACAATAACCTTTCCTACAGTCAAAATAGCTTCTCCAGCATTCACAATAGATTTTCTTACAGTCATAATAGCTTCTCCAACACTCACAATAGCTTCTCCAACACACACACAGTAACCTCCTCTAAAATTAGAGTAATCCTCCGTCACTTATTTTATACCGTCTCCAACACACAATATAGCCTCTTCAACACTCAAGACAGCGTCTCCGTCATTCTCCAGCAACCCACATCATAAACAGATTATTCTTCACCTGACTCGGCAAAACTTGATGATGATGATAATGGTGTGTGTGTATGTGTGTGTGTGTGTGTGTGTGTGTGTGTGTGTGTGTGTGTGTGTGTGTGTGTGTGTGTGTGTGTGTGTCTCGCTTGGCCTAACTACAGTACAGGGAAATTCACTCAAGATAATTTATTTCTGCTCAACTTTCAAGTACTCTGTCAGAAACACATTGTCTACTGGGCAATGCTTTCAATAAGAGGGTTGTGCTCTCAGTGAGAGGGCAATGCTCCCAGAGGGTGTGCAATGCTCTCAGAAAGTGGGCAGTGCTCTCAACAAGTGAAAAATGCTCTCAGAGATGGCAATGCTCAGGCAAGATAGTTGCCATTTAGGTGAAAAGCGACAAGACTCGGGAAAGAGTTGCTGAAGTTGTCTGAGAAGAGCTTCAAGTGGACCCGAAAACTACTTGAAGAGTTGGCACGAAATTCATTTTAGTTTAACTTGAAATAAAAGTATACAAGTTTTTTTTTTTTGGGCCATTTTTTTTCCAAATTTAATTAGTACGTGTGATAAAAATTCAAATGATTTCTATTCATTTACCTTTGATAATATAAATCGTTACTATTATTTGGGAAACGGGCAAAAAATATAATAGATAAAAGAATTATTTATTAATGTTGACTGACAGCCATTATAAGGTCATTAAGGTTAACTTAAAGGTAGAGAAGAAAGTCAAGCTTAACTTAGAAGTTAAGGCAGAGGTAATCAGAGTTAGCTGAAAGGACAGATGGCCCCCGACGCCAGCTTACTGACCAGGTCTTTCCTTTCACAGCACAGGTACATCACTAGGCCATATCACTAGGCCATATCACTAGGCCATAACGACCTGAAGCCTAAATTACAATTCAACGCTAGCTTAGAATTCTCCGACGAGTCACTATAAATGCACCATGAAGGTCAGGCACTTATACAAGGTCTTTATCAAACATTCCAACAGGAAGCTCTACACACCGGGGCAGTGGCACTCTCAGGCACTCAGACATTATCATAGTTAGGGCAGGTACTTACTCCAGGTTATCCCGGGGAAGTTGTCGGTCTCGTGGAGGAGAGAGAGCTCTGTCGATGGCAGCGAGACGTACATCCAGTGTGGCCACCTGCTTGGCTGAAACAACCACCAGGTGACGTTACTACAGCTCTGAGTTACTAGAGCTCTGAGTTACTAGAGCTCTAATTTACTAGAGCTCTAATTTACTAGAGCTCTGAGTTACTAGAGCTCTGAGTTACTCGAGCTCTAAGTTACTAGAGCTCTAATTTACTAGCGCTCTGAGTTACTAGAGCTCTGAGTTACTAGAGCTCTAACTTACTAGAGCTCTAAGTTGCTAGAGCTCTAAGTTACTAGAGCTCTAAGTTACTAGAGCTCTAAGTTACTAGAGATTTAGGTCGTAAAACAAACACATTAGTGGTCATTAGGAAAGCAAATTTACTAGTCATTTTCAAGGTAAGGAAAACTTCTAGGTAACCTACTAATGACTGAAGACGTTAAGAAGCCATATATTACGATTTTTCAAGTGTTTAAAGGTAAATAGTTACCTTAAACTCCATCCAGTCTTCACTCCTTTCTTATCCTCACACTACCCTTATCTACCCTCGTCCCCTTTCCCACCCTCCTTCTCCTCTTCCACACACACACACACACCCATCTCCAACCTCCTTCCACTCTCATTTTCCCTTTTCTCACCCTTCCTTCTACAACTTTCCCCCTCTCCTACTCTTCCCTCTCCCACTTTCCCCTCTTCTACTTTTCCCTCTCCCACTATCCCCTCTCCCACTCACCAAGTTCCACGGTGTTGCGAGACACCTCTCCCACAGCAGCTCTCAGCTCTCCATACTCCGTCAGTAACTTGCTCTGGATGTGCTCCATCGTGCCCAGCTGCACTCACGCAGGGAAATAACTCTTAATAATTGCATATGTATACGGAAATAAATACCATAATGGAAACCGGAAATAAAACGTGAGCGCTTTGACGTGCTTACACACACACACACACACATATCCTCAGAGGAATCATTGCTCTGAAGATGTGTTAAGCACACGAAAGCGATCAGGTTTTATTTCCCTATTTTCACTGAAGTATTTATTTTATATTTGCGGTCACGCGTTTTATTGTGATTTCTTTGGTGTATAGCACCAAGAAAATGGAGGGTAGCTCCAGTTTCTTGGATCAGAAGCCCTTTCATGCAAAAAACAGAATTTCCATGGACCTGGGAAACCTTAGATAATAGTGTCTGTGATGCCGTGGTAAAGCTCTTGATCCGGGTAAACAGAGAGACATCCCATACCCCATTTCCTAAGCGAAGGAAAAAGAGGCAAATGATGATAAATTAGAAGACAATGATAAAAGTGAAATAAAAGCTACGGAGAAGAACGAAAGATGAAGAGAAAAACAAAACAGAGAAAATAAAAGTGAAAATCAAAATGGGAGAAAACTAAAAGGGAAGAAAGCAAAGAAATAAATGTATAGTAAAGAGAGAGGAGGAAACAAAAGAAATAAAGAAAAAATGGGTGAAAAAAAGAATGGGAAGAGAGAGAGAGAGAGAGGAGAGAGAGAGAGAGAGAGAGAGAGTGAGAGAGAGATAAGAAAAGTAAGATAAAAGGCAGAAAAAAAACATAAATAAGGAACGAAAAGGGTGTAAAAATAGGAAGCGAAATGGATAAAACATAAACAAAAGGAGGAACAAGAAGGTCGAAAATAAACGAAAGAAAACGAAAAGAGCTACGAACTCTCCCCCTTAAAAAAGGGGGGACACACAAAAAAAGGGGGGACACGCACAAAAAAAGGGGGGACAACACAAAAAAGGGGGGGACACACACACACAAAAAAAAGGGGGACACGCACAAAAAAAGGGGGGACACACACAAAAAAGGGGGGGACACACACACACAAAAAAAAAAAACAGAGTACAGGAAGGAAGGAATGATCCTTCAGGAAGAATTAAAATCTAGATTATTGTTACTCTAATGAGATTCCTGGGGGAAGCGCTAAACCTGCAGGGTCATCAGCGTGTGGGGAATGGAAGATAATCAAGTCTGATCTGAGGAGGACGGGGGAGGCAGCTGATTCTTTGGATCAAGAGCCCTGCAACAGCATCCAGATACCCCTTATAAGGGGGTAGAGTAGCGAGTGACTGAATAAAATTATCAAAGGGACTGAAGAGAGTGATTGAAGTGACCGAAAGGACCCACCTGACGGTGTATACTGTCGGTGAAGGCATCGAGTCTGACGAGCCTGAGGGCGGTGTTGAGAGGCTGTAGCTGCTGCTCCAGCGCCTCCGTCACCACCTGCTGTAGCTCCACCAGAGACACTTTCCTCCGGGCTCCACCTGCTCCATCAGCACCACCAAGCAGCAGCAGCACCAGCAGCACCAGCATCAGCAGCAGCATCAGCACCATGAGGATGAGAAGACACAATGAATATTAGCGATCAGTCTTGAAAGAAATATCATACACACACACACACACACACACGCAGGGAGAGAGAGGACCTAGTAGCAATCAGCGAAGAGGCGGGGCCAGGAGCTATGACTCGACCCCTGCAACCACAAATAGGTGAGTACACACACACACACACACACACACACAACAAACACACACACACACACACACACATAAACACACACACACAATCTTCAATCTTCAACACGTCCCTGGAAACTGGGCAACTACCTGAGGTATGGAAGACGGCAAATGTAGTTCCCATTTTTAAAAAAGGAGACAGAAAAGAGGCACTAAACTATAGACCTGTGTCATTGACGTGTATAGTATGCAAAGTTATGGAGAAGATTATCAGGAGGAGAGTGGTGGAGCACCTGGAACGGAACAAGATTATAAATGCCAACCAGCATGGATTCATGGAAGGCAAATCCTGTGTCACAAACCTTCTGGAGTTTTATGATAAAATAACAGAAGTAAGACACGAGAGAGAGGGGTGAGTTGATTGCATCTTCTTGGACTGCAAGAAGGCCTTTGACACAGTTCCTCACAAGAGATTAGTGCAGAAGCTAAAGGATCAGGCTCATATAACAGGAAGGGCACTGCAATGGATCAGAGAATACCTGACAGGGAGGCAACAACGAGTCATGGTACGTAATGATGTATCACAATGGGCACCTGTGACGAGCGGGGTCCCACAGGGGTCGGTCCTAGGACAAGTGCTATTTTTGGTATATGTGAACGACATGATGTAAGGGTTAGACTCAAAAGTGTCCCTGTTCGCAGACGATGTGAAGTTAATGAGGAGAATTAAATCAGATGAGGACCGGGCAGGACTTCAAAAAGACCTGGACAGACTGGACACCTGGTCCAACAACTGGCTTCTCGAATTTAATCCCGCCAAATGCAAAGTCATAAAGATAGGGGAAGGGCAAAGAAGACCGCAGACAGAGTATAGGCTAGGTGGCCAAAGACTGCAAACCTCGCTCAAGGAGAAAGATCTTGGAGTGAGAATAACACTGAGCATGTCTCCGGAAGCACACATCAACCAGGTAACTGCTGCAGCATATGGGCGCCTGGCAAACCTGAGAACAGCGTTCCGATACCTTAATAAGGAATCGTTCAAGACACTGTACACCGTGTACGTCAGGCCCATACTGGAGTATGCAGCACCTGTTTGGAACCCGCACTTGATAAAGCACGTCAAGAAACTAGAGAAAGTGCAAAGGTTTGCGACAAGGTTAGTTCCAGAGCTAAGGGGAATGTCTTATGAAGAAAGGTTAAGGGAAGTCGGCCTGACGACACTAAAGGACAGGAGGGTCAGGGGAGACATGATAACGACATATAAAATACTGCGCGGAATAGACAAGGTGGACAAAGGCAGGATGTTCCAGGGAGGGGACACAGAAACAAGAGGTCACAATTGGAAGTTGAAGACACAGATGAGTCAGAGAGATATTAGGAAGTATTTCTACAGTCATCGAGTTGTCAGGCAGTGGAATAGCCTAGAAATTGACGTAGTGGAGGCAGGAACCATACATAGTTTTAAGACGAGGTATGATAAAGCTCATGGAGCGGGGAGAGAGAGGACCCAGTAGCAACCGGTGAAGAGGCGGGGCCAGGACTAGGACTCGACCCCTGCAACCACAAGTAGGTGAGTACAAATAGGTGAGCACACACACACACACACACACACACACACACGCACACATATTCACCAGGTTTTCGTCAATAACAGAAATTCAAACAAATTAGTATGGATGTTTGCTGAAAACTAGGCTGTGTTTCCCGTGGACAAGATTGGCCTGAGCTCTTTATTGTTGGAGCAACCAGAGTCCTACGTGACGACCCATGGCTCACACACCTTTAACTTGATGCTGTCCCCACGAGTCCAAGATAGTTCATTTCTCTCTCTCTCTCTCTCTCTCTCTCTCTCCTCTCTCTTGACTGGGATGCTCTCATCTGTGAACCGGAATGCTGTCATCTCTGGACCGGGATGCTGTCATCTCTGGACCGGGATGCTGTCATCTCTGGACCGGGATGCTGTCATCTCTGGACCGGGATGCTGTCATCTCTGGACCGGGATGCTGTTATATCTGTGGTCTGGCACGCTGTCTTATTCAGAGCTGGTGTGTTGTGACCTTCTGAACCGGAACGCTCTTAGTTCTATAGGGATGCTTGTCTTCTTTTTGGCCAGGATGCTGTTATCTTCTTGACCAGGATGCTGTCATCTCCTGGACCAGGGAGATTAGCATCTCCCTGGCATCATCCAACAACCCACAATGACGCTCAATAAAAATTATTAACCTCCTCAGTATATTTGCATGTTATATAGCTTTCATGTTCCTCTCAAATTTCTCTTTATCATTTCTACGATATATTTACATCATTCATTTTACACCTATAAATTGTTAAGAACCTTTCTAATGCAGTGCATTTTATCTGTCTCTCAGTAAGGCTTTCTTTTGAAGCTTAATATGTTTTTCTAGTATCAAATCAAGCTTTTCTATTATTTTTTTACTTAATATAATGATTTAATATTAGTTGATTAATGTTTTTAATTTATTGTTATATATATGGACAAATTTAAGTCAACTGAAATCTTTCTGATCTGCGCAGTATCGTGCGACGTCTCCTAGCTGTTGCTAAAAGGATATATATACCACGAGGTCTATTTATCTAAGGGTATATATGCTGAGACCTCATTTTAGGCCCTATTTTAGGGATTAAAATATTCTTATCTGGTGGTGAAAATGTTACATGTAACCTTAATAACCTTAGTGTAGTAGAACGGCTTTAAACACCATTAACGAACTCACCAACCAATGAGCCGTTATGTGGGCTGTTGGCAGCCACAGCTGCTTGACCAGGCTGTCACGGGAATGTGACACGTATATGCTTATCAAAAGTAACAGTACTTAAAAAATTATATTATTTCAATTAAGCAACGCCAGTAACCCACACGTAAGAAACAAACTTATAAAGATGTTTCGGTCCGGTTTGGACCATAAACAAGCCACGTAGAGTCTCGGTATTGTCTTAAAAATGATTTAAGTTTACGAGGTCAGGTGCAAATTACAAAGCAAGCAACCCGGTACAACGTCTAGTTCTCATCGTCCAGATAATTGCATACCTTCAGGTTAATTGATGCTACAACCTTGCGCCAAGGTCCAGAAATGAGTCTGAGGTCGCTGCATGAGTGGGATCACGCTCTTCAAGGAGGGAGAGGAGGAAGGCTGTTGGTGCTTGTGAAGGGACTCTTGATGTCAGGAAATTGAGCTCCTAATTCCTTACCCGTATCAGACATGAGTATCTTTCATTTCAGAGGATTTGTATGACTACTACGGTTTTTAATCTTCCCTTTTAATAATAATAATAATAATAATAATAATAATAATAATAATATAATAATTAAAAGAATTAGATTCTTTGGCTCCTGAAAAAACTTTTCCGTTCTTGAAGACGATGGTAATACTGAATTCCTGGTGAACAGGACTTCACATAAGCTGCGGAGGATCTTGTACATTGATCGATCTCAAGTGAAAATAAACTCAATAGGAATTGTAGATTTCCTTGAGAAGATCTCCTAGTCATCCTGAATCTAACGGAAGCTGAGGAGCTGTGAATCAACGAGAGAAAACCCTAAATGCGTCTAGTCGAGCTCCGTTACACGTCTCTCTTTTTGGGCTCCTGAAAAACCGCAAGTTTTATAATTTAAGTACGAGAGAGAGACTGTAACAAGGTCACTATACTCTCCAGTCTCCTCTTGGAATTCAGAGGGCCAAGTACCTTACAAAGGATCAAACCCCCAGCGTGTCATACATACACTTCCAGAAGTTTTAAATTTTGTTGTAAATTCTGGATATTATATGTTGATTTCTCAGCTATCCATATAATTGAGTGATGGAGGCAGTAAATAGGATTCCTCTCTTTGACATTTATACCTGCTAAATGAACTACTGAGAAAATAATTACAGTATTATATTGCACACCAGCGTGCATAACATATACCGTATTGTTGCCACTTTCCAAAACAGTCGGAGAAAGAGTTATAAACGACATTATCATAATGGAGCACTTCAATAACCACTTTATTAAAGACATACCAGTATGTCGATGCAGTTACTATAGATACAACTTGTCCCATCATGAAACAAAAAAAAAACATCAATTAACACGATGATCAGGAAAGTATTTTGTATCGGTCTTCTTATGTGTGATGATTATAACGTAAGTTCCAAGCCAAGTCTTTCACAAACAGACTATAAACAAAGTTTCATGAAGTTTCTCGGTGCTGTGTTTAGTGTTGCTGCTGTCGCCTCCAGCTTCCCGACCTTGACGGGCGACACGGGACATGTCTGCATTAGCTACCACCCGTGGCAACACAATATCAAGGACAGGAAGGACGGCTTGGAGATATCTACCGAGGAATGGAAGGCTAGAGAAGGGAAGTCTAGAGAAGGGAAGTCTAGAGAAGGGAAGTCTAGAGAAGAGACGCCTAGAGAAGGGAAGTCTAAATTAAGGAGGAGGATTAGTCTACTGGAACAGGAGTTTCTCAGAGGGGTTGTCTACTGAGAAAGGGGCGTCTAAGTGGTTTCTCTATTGAGAAACGGGCGCTCCAAAGAGGTCTAGTGAGAACAGGGCATCTCAGAAAGGGAGAGTGTTTGCTGAGAGAGGAGCATTTCAGATGGTTTCTCTGCTGAGGAAGGTGCGATTCAGAGAGGTCTGCTGAAGAAGGTGCGTTTCAGAGAGGTCTGCTGAGGAAGGTGCGTTTCAGAGAGGTCTGCTGAGGAAGGGGCGTCTTGCAGGTGAAATCTACCAGAGAAAAGAGGGCACAGAAGAAAAGCCTTCAAAAAAGGGGGAGTGTCTTGATGCCTACGAGAAGCTTTGCTCCAGAGAATTAGAGCTGCCTTCCATTTCCTTGGATCAAACTTGATTGCCTTTAATTACTCAGTAGTCGTATGTCCTCTACAGAT